TTGCCCACTAGCGGCCCCTTCGCCATTGCACAGAGAAGAACAGACAACTAGTTATTGTCAATAAAGGAACCAACCTTGCAGCAGGAACAGCATCGGCATCCAGATCGCTGCACCCAGCGTTGCTCCGCCAGCTTTCCGGCCCGTGTTTGCAGCTCATAGGCTTGCGCCACAACCCTGAACCCTAAACGCTAAACCAACAAATCCTTTTTTTGAGGAGGGGCTGCAGTGCACATGCCCTCATGGCCCTGGCCTCGTCGGCGTCGCCGCGCAGCGCGGGGCCCAGGCCCGAGGACTTCGCCAAGCGGGTCTCCAGGGCCGGAAAAGTGACCTGGGCAGTTCTCTACATTGGGGGTTTAGGGTTTAGGGTTTAGGGTTTTGGGCTTTAGGGGTTTAGGGGTTTAGGGGTTTAGGGGCTTAGGGGTTTACGGGTTTAGGGTGTCCCTTTATAAGCCCCAAATAGAGTACGGGCACCTTCATAGAAAGGTCCCCAAATAGGACCCTACTTTAGAGGAGTACCCAGCTGGGTTACCCGGTTTCGACTCCTCACTCTCGCACAAGGCAGGCAAGGATCACACAAGTCCCTCACGCTAGAGAGGCTCCCAGGGGCAGCGGAATTACCCGGTTTAGGGCTTAGGGCTGATTTGGGTGTACAAACCCTATAATCCAGCTAAACCCTAGAGCGCTTATGGTTCAGGGTTCAATATTTTAGGGTTTAGGCAGGGTTAATTACGGTTTAGGGCTTTGCCTTTGGGTTTAGGGTTTCATCAGGGTTTAGGGTTAATTAGGGTTTAAGGTTTAAGGTTAAGAGTTTTGGGTTAGGGGTTTAGGGTTTAGTACCAAAGCGGGTACTACAACTTGGAGGGTCATGGGACGTAGTATCTAGGGTTGTCATTGAGGTCAGCATATGTCCATATACTTACAATTAGCTATATCCCAGACTGTACTTACCAAGTCCCATGAACCTCCAAGTAGGGAACATGAGTAATGACAACGGGCATTTTCAGGGTTACTGAGATTACAAGGGTTTTCATTAAAAAGTTGCTGGTGCTATGAACGTTACCACGGGGGCTACTATAATGCATAACAGGAATACTATAAGGGTATTATAAGGGTTCCGATAATAAGGCCAGCTGGGAGGCATTTTGAAAAGGCATGGGAAGTTTAGCGTCAAGGTCTTAAAGTAGGGTTTAGAGTGAAGGGGTTTAAGGGTTTCGGGTTTCCAGGGCTTAGGGTTTCGGCTTTCAGGCGTGTGAAGAGGAGTTTGAGGAGCCAAAGATTCGACCACGGGTATGTAGATGACTGAAGCGCGGCCTTGGATTTCAGCAATCGCCCAAACACTGAACCATACCAAGCCCAAACCCCAACTCAAACCCTAAGACTCCACGGGCCCCCGCAACCACAAAAAATTGCTGAAATCGGTACCAAAACCCCGAAAGTCTGTTCCCTGCACTTCTCCGTGCTACCGGAGGCACATCGGTTGCTTCAGGCTCAAGGCAGCCTGCTCGAGGTGTGAGGTTTTGGGGTTCAGGCATGAGCAACCTTGGCGATACAGAGGCCTGCATGATTAGACTGGAGTTTCGAGGATTCTTATAATGTAGCTATAGCTATGTTAGGTAATCCGGAGCCGTTCTGTTGCTACAAGTTTCTACCCTAGATTCCAACATGGTGCTTACTCGCAGCCGGTCCGGTTTGTGGCTCCAACCCCCAAAACAATAGCTTTCCTGGATCCACAGGTAGAGCTTCTAGGGTTTCAGCACTCACATAGGGTTTGTGGGCCTAGGAGGGTTGACGGTAGGGTGCTATGCAAACTTCAAAAAAATGCACGAACAAAATGCTACGACGCAACCGTGGTTTCGAGTTGAAGCTTTGGGCTTCTTTAATTTAGCGCTTAGGGCGGAGGGTGGGATTCTTCAGCTGGTCGCTCCGGAGACCTTCCTTCCCCAGGTCACGAAACCTCCATCATCGAGACTTGCAGCAAACTAGCCACGATAAGAGGATTGGATCTGCTGCACATTCTTCAGCTCATCCTGCACAGTACTGCTGTCACCGCCCTGATTAGCATCACCCCAGGTCACGACGGATCCATCTCCGACAATGGCAGCAGGCAGATGCACCGCCAAATGCGCGGAGGCAGGAATGAATCTGCTGCACATTCTTCAGCTGATGCTGCACAGCACTACTGTTGCCACCACAGCTAGCATGACCCCAGGTCACGACGGATCCATCGGCAAGAATGGCAGCAAAAGCGCAGCCGCATGCTTGGATCTGCTGCATGTTCTTCAGATGAGCCTGCATGGCACAACTGTCAGCACCATACATGGCATTTCCCCAGGTCACGACAGATCCATCCCCGAAGATGGCAACAAAAACGTACACACAGGCATGCATCTGCTGCATATGCTTCAGCTGATCTTGGCCAGAACGACCCCAGGTCACGACGGATCCATCTCCGAGAATGGCAGCAAAAGCGCCATGAGTGGCTTGGATGTGCTGCACAGTCTTCAGCCGATCGTGCACAACACGACTTTCACCGCCAAGGTCAGCATCACCCCAAGTTACGACGGATCCATCGCCGAGTATGGCAGCAACTGCGTGTGGACAGGCTTGGATATGCTGCACATTCTTAGCTGATCCTGTACAGAACTACTGTCTCCACCATAGGCAGGATTGCCCCAGGTCACGATGGGTCCATCCCTCAGAATGGCAGCAAAAGCGCTGTCGGTGGCCTGGATCTGCAGCGTTAGCTGATCCTGCACAGCACGACTGTACCCACCATACTCAGCCCCCCAAATGTCAGCCTTACCCCAAGTCACCACAGACCCATCGCCACGAATGGCGGCAAATGCGCGGCGCGAGGCTTGAATGTGTTGCACAGTGGACAGTCTTACTGTCACCGCCCGTCGCCAGGGACACCCCAGGTGACGACGGATCCATCTCCGAGAATGGCAGCAAAAGCGCCGCGTCTTGCAGCTTGGATCTGCTGCACATTCTTCAGCGCACTGGACTTGCCCTGAACTCGCGCTCTTTTTATGTGCAAGGTCAGAGAGTCACCGTCGTGAAGCCTGGCATCCCCGATTGTCGAACATGCATTCAGGACATGTCCACATGTATTCGCTAGTCGGCCATTCCGACTCCAAGCGCCGTCTGCGCACGAATCTGAACTGCTTCCACGGTCTCATCAAGCTCTGCTTGCACCGAAGCAGGAGCTGTCTTGCCACTGAGAAGTGCAACATTCAAAGTAACAAACATGCTGCGTGCCGAAAGAAAGCAATGTCTACTGAGTCTACTGGTCTAATGTTCCTGGGTGCATGGAAGCTTCCCCTCAATGGGTTCCACTGGAAAAAGGCCATTGTTCAAACAGCTATGCAATGTACGTGCACTGTTTTGTTAGCTGTTTCTGCTAGCATCAATGCGGTGACTTTATTGTTGCTGCTCTCGCCTATACATCTCCTCGACAACGCAGCAGAGTGATCAGACTGACAAGAACGGAATCAGGCTTAGGGTCTGCTGGTGGGGACGGGTGGGTTGTGGTAGGCTGAGGGCATCAAAAGGCGGAGTGGAGGTGGATGGGATCGAGGGGCCCGTACATGTAATGTAAGGGCCTTATAAGCTTGAGGCACAGCCCGAAGACGCCGCGCAAATATTGAGGTCTGCACAAGTAGCAATCCCTGCAGCCTATTCGTACTAACTGTATCCACAAACGCCAAGCCAGTTTTCAAGGCCGCTGTTTACTTGTACAGACCAGACACTCACCGGACAGTCAATTACAATGCGCTAGTTCGAAGGTTTCAACAAACGAAAACCCCATAAGTAGTTGGACCGCTCGTCTGGGGACGATATGAATTCAAACCTCCGTTTCTCCTCCCAAGTCCCAGAAGCCCAAACCTCTCGGCTCCTCGGCAGCAAAGGTTTCTTCTAGTCTAGAAGCTTACCGTGCTGACTGCTTCTTGCTTCACTGAGTCTGCCGTCTTGCCTGCCGCTGCAAACTGTTTGCACCCTTGCCCCAGGGTTGACTGAAGCTCCCGCGGGTACACACACACACATTAAGGCAAGGATAAAGCTGTACAAGGATACTCCATCCGAGGGCTTAGGCCTTCACGGCTTTAGGGTTTGTTGGGGTTTTAGGCTCTTGGAGCTTAGGGGTACTGGGTCTCCTGCTATTCTCATCCACCAAAAAGTTTCTGAAAATAGAGCCTTCTTACCAGGAGCCGGAAGTTTCCAAACCTTCACAGTGACATGGGAAGCTTCAGAGTACATGACATCTTCTGGACAGGGAAGACTAAAAAACATACTGAAGACATAAGACATACTAAAGACACGAAGGATCCCGACTCAGCGGGATCCTTTGTATGAAACACCCTCAGCGATCGATCCAGCATCGGAAATCGGAAACCAGCAAACCACATCTTTTTTGAGCTCTAACTGGGACTCCAAGAACCTTAACCTTAAACTTAAAAGAACCAGCTCTTTTACGGGTTAAGCCTTTTAGTTCAAGGGTCAGAGCCTCTCATTTTGTAGGGTTTGGGGCAGTAAACCCAGGACCCTAAACCCTAAACCCTAATCCCCAACCCCTTAAAAAAAAAAAACAAACAAACCCTAAACCCTAAATCCCCTAAACCCTAAAAAACACTAAACCCTAAACCCTCGAGCCTTCCCCCACTGCGGGCCCGGCAGCAGCAGCAACCACTGGGGCCAACTGCTGGGAAATCCTGAGCTTCAGGGCTTCATCGCCGACTGTAGGGGGTCTTAAAAATCAGAATGGGTTTTGGGACATATTATATACTATAACTGTAATAAGGAGCCTCCGAAACAATATTGGTATATGACTATCAAGGAGGTTTATCTCGCACTCATGCGAGCTGGCAAGGGACAGCAACAGCCCCAATCTAACATTAACTATACTATCTCTACGACATGGCTGACTGGTCATACAAAGCAACAGCAAAGTCCTGAATTCGGCGATTTTTCGAACAGTTCGCGCGCGCAGAGGTTCTATATACCTACACATCGTCCAGATGGTCTTCACCCGCCGTCTCTGCTGCAACGCACCCATCTTGCTGCTGTTCGATGCAAGTGGGTTCTGCAGTGCTCTCTATGCACGGCTGTGAAACACGGTTGTTGCCGACGGTGTCACTCACCCTTGAATTACCTCTCAGGCTCTGTCGAGCGTCTTCTGTGCCGGAGATCGCCAAATCTCTCTTCGGCGCCGGGACAAGGTGCGCATCCTCCGAGGGCACGACGGTATAGGGGAAGGTACAGCCATCTCCGCTTGGCGGACAGGCTGGAAGAAGCCAGCACATCGGATTCGAACCGAGTGAGGCTTGCACATTTCCTACTAGACCTTGATCGAAGTTCAGCTTCTTGTCATTCTTCTCATTCCTGGTCAGGTACTCGATTGTCGTCATGCCTCGCGACACCAAGAAGAGGTGGAACCCAGCAAATGCGACCATAGTGCCCCCGAGGGCGATCATGAGCACTTCGGCTGAGAGCAGCCAAAGTCGGGTGCAGAAAGACACGTCTATCTGGAAGGCCCTAATCATGAACAGCAGCATCGTCACCGCCTTGAAGATTAAGGCCACTGCAGAGTAGACAATGAAAGTCACGAAGAACCTGCAGTTGTAGCTTCAATTCCCCAAACCTTTCTGTGAATAAATACGGGTTTCAAACCCAAAACCTCAAAACACTAATTGCCACCGACGAACTTGTAGTTTCCAAACCCGATGCACTGTCGAAGCCAGGGACAATGATGGTCCATGCGTAAGACGCAGGTTGAGCACTTGGTGCCTACTACATGGTTGGGATAATGTTAAACATCGAATCAGAAACTTCTAGATTCCTTATTGAGCTTAAGTAGCCATAAGAATGTAAAATGTTACCCAACTATGACAAAGGTGCAGTGGCGACACCGATGGGGTTTCCGAGCTTTGCATGCGGTACCTGCAGCCCCAAACCAGGGCAAAAAAGGGGGGCTGTGAGCCTGAAGCAGGTGACAACTGAAGTAAACCCTCCACAAGATGAGACTTTCCGACAATTAGGGGACCTTCTTTTGGGGTCCTTTACAGTAAAGATCCTACTACTTAGGGTGCTACAGTCGGGTCCCCTATTTTCGGAAACCCCCAGAGGCTCCGATCCCTTTGCTGCTGACAAGGTTTAAAAGGCTTGAAAAATCAGAGCTTCTCACCTCGTGGGAGGGCTTAGGGTCTTTATAGGGTTTAGGGTTTAAAAAAACCATACAAAATGGTAGGGTATCGGAGTCGCAGGTGCAGAAGAGAAGGCTCTTTGAGTTTGTTTGTCGACCTCCCTCTGTAGCATCACCAGGTTGGCCCGGACCTGTCACCGTGGTTTAGGGCTTCGGGGTTCAGGCGGTTGGGGGTTCTAGGGGGCTTCAGGTTGCTTTAGGGTTTTAGGGTTTAGGGCCGGGACCTGTCACCAGCACGCGGATGCAGGAGGCTACCCACAGGACCACCAAGACCCAGTAGATCACCTGAGGGACGGCATTATAGGGCTTTGGGCGTACCTTACTTGTCCGGTCACCTTGTGGAACTGAGTACCAGAGATGTTGGGATTATGCGAATATCAGGGGTTAAAGTGCGCCAGAAAAATCAAAGCTTACTAGCTCTCCCAGAAACCCTAAACCCTAAACCCAAGTGACCTGAAGGCAGAAGGAAAGATCTTGCTCGACCGACTGCTCCACTGTTCCGATGATGTGCGTCAGGTTGTAGACGACAAGAAAGAAGGTGATGGTGGCCAACCTAGGATGGCCGTTTTAGGGTTTAATTGTATAGGGCCTTTGGGGTCTAGGGTTTAGGGTTTAGGCCAACCTGGGATGGCCCTTTTAGGGTTTAGGGTTTAGGGATCGCAACTTCCACTTTCTGAGATCCAGGAAAGGAAAAATATCCTAACAGGCTGCCTGGCAACAAAAATGCCGGAGGCGCCCAAGTTTGGCAGCCTCTTACCCACGAAAATGCGACTTCAAACCATCAGGACAATGCTAACTCAGAAGACAACCGAAACCAGCCAGCAAAACGCCTACAACACCTTGAAATCCTAAGCCCTAAACCCAACAAAAACTAAACAAAACAATCCAAAAACCCCTCAAACCATCCCAAAACAGAACCTACAATTACTACCGACTTTTCTTTTGGAAGGCTCTTCAGCCTCCATCCTTCAAAGGCTGCAGGCCAAGGCTTCCTACGGAATCCGCCGCCCCGACCCAAAGTGAAAGCAGGACCGTGGCCGAAAGGAGTAACGCCACATTCCTGGGATTCGGGGTTTAGGGTTTTAGGGCTTTCTTTAAGGGTTTAGGCTGTTTAGGGTTTAGGAGTAACGCCACATTCCTGGGATTCGGGGTTTCGGGGTTGCAGTTATAGGGTTCTGGGACTTTTGGCAAGGGTTATACGGGTTTGGGGTCATTCCTGGGATTTTTGCTTTTCCGTCATTCCTGGATTTTTGTTGAGGAACGCAAATATTAACCATGTTATTTACTATAGATCCTAGTATGGAAACTTAAATGACACTCCTTGACAAAGACCCAGATTCTCCAAGTAATCCACATAGGGATCAGACATGAGCTCCAGGTGGCTGAGCAAGAAGAAGGCTGCTGTTGCAGGTGCAAAACCGACAAGCCCGACGTACCACAAGGCCTGCATGAAGGGCTTCCTGGATTTCGGTAGTGTCGGAACCGCGGCAAAAAAGGAGATCAAGATGCACAGCAATACGCTTGTTGCGTAGAGGACAGAGGCCCAGGCACCAAACCGCCGTGGTTCCGAAAGACATACCTGGAATTCAGATTCAGGGCTTCATTTCGGACTACGAGTACGGCTTACGGGCTTTATCTATGCATAGGTACCTGTGCCAGCGCATAAAGCAAAATGGCAATTATCCCAAATTGCCGCCTAGACGCCCACAAGTTCGCTGCTGACAGTAGCCACCCTACCAGGAGAAGAAGCAGTGGTTTCCAGATGTCTTCCGAACTCGAGGCAGGTGAGCTCATGCCGGCGCAGCGTGGCGTCACGGGCTCATCGCTGATAGAACTAACTTTGCCATGCTTGAGCAAAAGAAGCAAGGCACAGAGGATTTGTCTCCAATCTCTTGTGACGTCGTGTGACAGTGCACAGGTGTCAGGGTCAGGTCTGTTTCGCCAAACATTAATCCAGCCGCATCCGCAACAGGCTAACCCCAAGGCTCAAGAGGGACGCTTTACCGGTTCCGTCAGGCTTAAAGCCCCCCCCCTGAAAATCAGGCGAGACCTAAACCTCAGTGTAGACGTGAAGCACCGTGCATGACGCTGATACCGTTTCGGGCGTTGAGGGAAAATACTCAGGGTTTCAATAAACATGGCTTTGGTTTAAGAGTTGGGTTATTCTGTGTTGCTTCCAAATAAGCGGGCTAGCATGTGGGCTTGAGGTACCCAAAGCTAGTTCGGGAGACTGAACCCGTCTGAGCAAGAGCTCAAGCCGAATATCACTGCCATCAGACCTGGACACGCGGCAAATCCTGAGTTTGAAAACAGAGACCTTGAACCCTTGCAGTGATAAAGTATTGAGCGGATACAAAACCCCTAAAGTCTTAGCCTGTTTAGGATTTCGGTTTTTAGGGTTGGGGGTTTCAGGTTTTAGGGACTAGGAACCCTAACTAAACCCTAAACGCCTGAACCTCTAAATCCCTAAACTTAAATTAAACCCTAAACCCCTAACCCCCTGAAGGGTTTAGGGATGTTTAGGGTTTAAGTGTCGCCCAGCGGCCAGGTTCGCAGCTCCGACTCCAGGGTTTCGTGGCTCCGCTGCAAAATCCTCTCGAGCTCCTTCCTCAGTGCGCTTAGGGCTTCGTAGGGGTTTAGGGTTAAAGGGTTTAGGGTTTAGGGTTTAAGGGTTTAAGGGTTTAGGGGTTTAGGGCTCTAGGGGTTTAGGGATTAGGGTTTCAGGATCTAAGGACTTAGGGCTTAGAAGTTCCTTTTAAGGGTTTCTTGAGTTTAAGGCTGAGGGTTTGTAGGGATTAAGGTTTTCGGGGTTTACGAAAGTTTAGGATTTGGGTATAGGAGTGGTATAACTATACTTGCTGTCAGCTATGCGGCTTCTTAGCATCACGCGTACCTTATCTCAGGGTCCATGTACCCATGGATTATATACTTTGGCCTTAAACTTGGTACTTTAGGGCCCAAAGTATATACTAGATGGGCACATGGGCCCTTAGGGAATCTTTCGGGTTTCTGGGTTGAGGGTTTTCGGGGCTTCGGATTTAGACTTTAGGAGTTTTAGGGCTTCAGACATACCATTGATGGCCTTTCGAGAGAGAGAACCCCGAACCCCCTTATCCCTAAATGGTTTAGGGTGCAGGCCTGCAGTGTTTCGGGCGGAGAGTTCATCGTGATTTTTTCTGAGAGTTCCTTCTTGAGCTGCCTAAGTACACTGTCTATTGCGAACGTGCCCGATCCCCAAACCCGAAAGCCCAAAACGGCCCTAAACCCGAGACCCCAACCCGAAACTCTAAACCTGAACTAGTTCCTTGCTTGGGTTTGGGAGCTCGGAACCTAAACACGAGGATTTTAATATGTCGGGTGGGCCTTAGCCATTATAGCAGGGTTTTGGGGTGCGCTGTCGTATACGAAACAAAGGCTATGAAAAGATACTGGTTTAAGGCTGTTGGCCTATGGCAGATGCCTGCAGTAAAAGCCTGACACACATGTAACTACAATCTTGGCCCAGAGAACCCTAGAATGTATAACATGGCGTCTGAGTGTAAACTCCAAAAAATCTCTTGCACATATTCAGGCCCGTGCATCACATGCGAACAATGACGCCAAGCACCCCTATGACTAATTTATAAACCCCCTTGAAGAACCCCCCTTAGAAACCCTGTCCCCCGCAGCCCTATTACCCTAAACCATACACCCGGAACTCTAAACCCTGAGCCCTAAACTCTGAAGCCCTTATAGTAACCCTTTCCAGAAACGCTTAACTTACTTGCCAAGTTCAGTAGCCCAAAGCGGTGTAAATCTTTGAGATCTATCGGGGATAATCTTGAACCCCCCAGAAGTGTAAAGTGTACTCATTCAGCTACTAAGCTAAGAACCCTTGTATCAGCCCTTATAGTACCCCATTCAAGAAACCCGTAAAACGCCCCTAAGAAGCCTAGCAGTATCCCCTAAGAACCTCTTACATATACATATGGGGGTTTCAGGAACTAGGGGACCCTAATATAGTACCCTAAATAGTAGGATCCTTATTATAAGAACCCCAAATTAAGGTATCCCCTAATTTTCGGAAACCATATACCCTAAACGCGTAGAGAGCCCCTAGAGTAGACCCGCCTTCTGAATTTTCCATTGTCAGAATTTTTTGTTATGGGTTTTTTGGTTTTTTGTAGAGCTTTGTGAGGTTTTATAAAGTTGTAGATGGTTCGATGGAGCTTATACAGGGAATTTATAGAGAGTTTGAAAGGGTGGCATTAGTTTTCTCTGATGTTTTATAGAGATTTAGTTATCGGCCTTCCCGCAGGTCGGGTTTAGGGTGTGGGGTTTCCGGTTTCGGGTCTAGGGTTTCGAGTCTCGGTTCAAGGTGGTGGCACTGTAGGGCTGGTACTTTTACCCATAAGCCCCTAAGTAGTTCCTTTTGGGATTACCTTCTAGGATTCTAAATATAATCCCCAAAAAGGAACTAATTAGGGGCCTATGGGTAGAGTGTCCGACAAACCTGGGCGCCAAGTGTCAAAGCCGTCGCTGTGGATTCCATCTCGGATGCCTCCCAGAAACGGCGATGCCGTGACGGGCACAGGCGTACTTGAAAGAACGACCGCATTGAACAATACTGTGGCCTCAAAGAGCTTTGAACACTTTAGTCATGTCAGGTCAAAGTACAAACCATGTGGGTACATGGACCTATGGTGGAAGCCATCAGGCAGACCCTAAACCCCTAGTCCTTTTTCCACAAACCCGAAACCCCCAAACTGGATCCCCGAAACCTGGACAAGATGTACCTGCACCCCAAACCCTACTAAAACTCAAATCTCTACATCTTTTTTGTTTCGGGTTTCGGGGGTGCCGCAAGGGGTCCGGGTTAGGGTTCCTATGGTAGGTTTGGGATTTAGGATTTGGAGCTTAGGATTGGGCGAAAACGAACCCTAAAAGGGCTTAAGGTTCGTTTCCTATATAGAAATTCATAGTATAAGGGTATAGGGCCCCTACTTGTTAGGGTCATTGGGTCCCCATCTACAAAGAGGGCAGTACTGAACACACACACTCACACACTTTTCCCTTACAGGAATACTACCAATGAGAGGTTACGGAATAAGGCAGAAAACATAGTTGTCCGACAACCTTAGTTGTATCTTTTGATTGAATACACAGACATTATATATATATATTATGAGCGAACACAAAGTGTAGCTACATACCGTGCTTGTAACAACTGGCTATAGTTACTGTTTTCCGTGTCACGCCATACCGTGCACATAACATGTGAACACATACATACATACATACATACATACATACATACATACATACATACACGCATACATACATACATACATACATACATACATACATACACACACGCATACACGCCGCATACATACATACATACATACATACATACATGTGTATACACACACACATATATATATATATATGTGGATTGGAATTGATATTTTGTAACTGGGTCTGGGAGAGTTATACCGTGTAAGTGTATGTGTATTCCAAGCCACGCCTCATAGCACTGCTGATATATACTGTTGGTTAGTAGGGAATCTGAATTAAACTACATGTTGTGTTGAGTGCTTGTGCCATTGTGTCTGTCGGGTTTTTGGTTTCGTATTGTACCTGGAGAATGATAGTCTACATACTCTGTCATGCACCGGCACATGTATGCTACATGGGTGTGCAAGCCCCGGGAGGAAACAGTTGCCCAAACTTTTCTTTAAAAAACATGCCTATCCAAATATAGCTTTTCCCATCACATGAAGCTAGGCTGCGTCCGACAATCTTTCAGACGACCTCTGCTTCTGACAATCTGTCACACGACATGACATGACCTTATGCTAATACTGTCTTACGCTGACTGTTTGGGTTTTGACCAGAAGCTGTTCAATGCTGTACCGCTCAGACTCACTTGTATAGGTACACACATACGTACATAGATAGACCTAGTTATTCGTATATGTAAAAGATGTTGCCTGCCGATCCTTACAGACATTGCTATTGCAGCCTGCAGGATCTGTGTTGTCACAGCAAGAAGCTTATCTGCATATCTAGGCTATGTGTGTGTGTGTGTAATTGTGCACATATGTATGCATGTATACATGTCCTTTTAAAATTCTGTGCGTCTATATATGCGTGGGGAAATCGAGTTTGGTGTGTTGTGCTTGGGATAGTTGTGCCCTGCGGAGGCTTATACGCATAAAGTTAGTGAGCCAGCTCCTGAAGATCAGAATTGAAGGCCCTTGTTGACCTAGCTGCTGCATGAGCCAGGTTCGGCCTCAGGGCAGTTGCCCGAAAACCGGACCCCCTCGACAGTCCGTCCACCCTCAAGGCGGTCCACCAAACTCAGGATCGCGCCGGAATTCCAGGTGGCGAACCGCAAGAGCGGCAATCCGAGGGTGCGACGTAAGTTCAGTCGCACGGTCGATTTCCGAAGTGAAGAGGTCTGCAGCCGGCCGTCCCGATGGTGCACCAGGACTCATGTTATCCAGGCGATGAACAATGATCAGCAGGATCCCACGATTAACCGCGCAAGCACTGCAGCCCTCACAGCTAGTATTTCAATCCATGGCCATGTTATAA